TACATGCATGCCTCCTGATTGTGACACAGGTGATCGAGGAAGAGGGGACACAGCCTCAATTTGCCAGGATATACTGGCTCTAAATCAGCTCATTTTCAGAGCAATTTCACACACTTCTCAGTTGGGTCCGATGGTGTTCCAGACACACAAACAGCTATTCACAGAGAGTGAGATACATCTCAGGGGTATAGAAATTCATGTCTACTTTGTAATTTCTGTAACTTGATCATCTCTGTAAAAGTCTCCATGCCCCTTAAGACTCTGTCTGAGTTCTAAGCCTCATTCACTGAAAAGGCATTAAAGGTGGAGAGGCATCTGATACCTGGGTGTCATCTGTCACCATTAAGCTGCCCTCTGCCTGATCCTCAGGTGTGGTTACCTGTCCATCGGCTTCATCATCAGGATCCATGGGGCTGCTTCTCTCTCATGCACTTCTTGGAGACCCAGGAAAACTTGGGATTCTCTCATGCTGCTTTGGAGCCTCAGGAAACTGAGGATGGCTGCTTCGGGCACTCTATGCTGTCAGCCTCTCCCAGAAGTCTCTGCCTTCTCCTCTCAGGCCTTAGCGATGTGAGGAACACCTGCAGGATGCCAGGGTTGCAGACAAGAATCAAGGCAGGCTCCTGTGTTTATGGATACCCACACTAACCTGCTGAAACTATCACCTCACCCCCCTTGGAAGCCAACGCCGAGGAGGAGGCCTCTTCTCCAGTGCATCACCATCTGCCTTCCTGCTTTTATTCCAGTCCTCGGATGCTCTTGCTATTGGGAGACAGAAATGGGTGGAGGGGAGCCAGCTCAGCAAGTGTTCTGTTCCATCAGTGCCACTGACACCTGCTCCATGATGTTTAGCTGAAGACCCAATCATCTGACCATGTGGTTTCTACTTGGTAGTCCCTCTTTGAACTCCCAAGATCTTTTCTCGTGGACTGTATGCAGAAAGATCTCAAGGTGATAGCGGGGCCAGAGGTAGTGACTGGTTGGCACATATTGGAGAGAAAGGCAGTGTCTTCTCCCTTTAGGAATATGGTGCCATGAGGGAAACAGGACAGGCAGTCAATGTCCTCACCAGGAACCTCATTCCTGCACCTCATCCAGTCTTCATATGCCTCTTTAGGCCGTCTGGGCTCTTGGATAAAGGAGATGATCCCCCTCTTATAACAAATTACCATCTCAGACTGAAGGCCTTAGGTTCGCTGAATTCGTCACAGTTTATAAGAATGTTGCGCCCATCTCTTAGTGCATTTGATCATTATATCCCTAAGAGGAGAGCAGGTTTTATAATCCTATTTCAGACAGCTTTTCCACCACTATGACAAACAGACCTGACAAGAACAAGGTAGAGGAGGAAGGTTTATTTGGCTCATGGTTTCAGAGGTCTAAGTCCATATATGGTTAACACGGGTCCCTAAGGGAGGCAGAACATGGCGGAAGAGTGTGGTGGAGGAAAGCAGCACATGGCAATAAAGAAGCAAAGAGAGTTCTGCTCACCAGGAAACAAAAACCTCCAAGGCACACCCCCAATGACCTACCTCCTCCAGCCACATGCTACCAGGCTGTAGACACCACCCAGATAATCCAATCAAGCGAATTAAAGAATTGATTTGGTTAAGGCTTTCATGACCCAATCATTTCACCTCTAACCTTTCTTCTTCTTCCCTCCCAACCAGGGATTGAACCTAGAGGGCACTTAATCACTGAGTCACATCCCCAGCCTGTTTATTAATGTTGAGACAGAGTCTCCCTAACTTGCTCAGGGCCTCACTAAGTTGCAGAGGCTCACTTTGAACTTGTGAACCTCCTGCTTCAGTCTCCCAAGCCACTGGGACTGCAGGAATGTGCCACCAAGCTCTGCTACCTCTCAACTTTCATGCATTTTCTCACACATGAAATTGTGAGGGCCATCACCTATCCAAATCCTAACAGATTCCCATCTAGAAATGAGGAAACCAAAGTTCAGAGAGGTTAAGAGAAACAGAGAATGGACAATAATCACCAGAACTTACAAGTCGTCTGTTTCTAAATGCTCTTGTGGGGTGCACTGCAAGGTGTGTCTCATCACCTTTAGAGAAGTGGCAAGAGTGCCCACCCCACTCCTAGAGCTTTGGGAAGATTGCCATGATGTGACCATCAGAAGAGCATCTAGTTCTTTGGCATTTTAACTTTTAACTGCCGTCCTTTAGATACGTGGAAGGGAGTGTGGCATGGTAAAAGGGGTATGAGCTCAGGTATTGATTAGTTATTCATTCAGTAAACATTTATTAAGTGTCTGTTAGAGTTGGGTGCTCTTCCAAGTGCAGTTAAAGCCAGTCTTTTAGTGGTAGTGAGATTGTCTAGAGACAGTGAGAACTGAGAAGAGAGACAGACTCTAGGGACAGATTCCCACAGTTAAAACTCAAATTTTGATCAGAATCATCAGTGTTCAAGAAAAAAATATGATAGGCATGAATTTAGACTTGTCATTTTAACCATATGCCTCACGGGGACCTAGAATTAAGTAACTGTTTCATAGAGTTTCAAAATCCTTCTTCTGATTCTAATTACCAACGACTTATGTTCCATCAATGACCCAAGAGAAACAGAAGCTTTTATTTGTGAATTTATCATTAGTAATTTTTTTTTTTTGCTAAGTCACAGAAACTTCCTGAGCTTCCCTTTCTTCATCTAAAAAACTGGGGTACCCTTACCTCTCACAGAATTGATGGTAAAATGGGTAGTGTCTGTCAAGCACGGCACTTGACTGGCCCACAGTGGCATCTCCATGAGGATAATTATTATTGTCATGAGACCACTTTGGAGGTGGAGCTGCTTCCCTATTGAGTGAGGGTCAAAGAAAGACTCCCTTCACATAGAATCCCATGCTATGCAGAGAGTGGATTTGAAGAACCAAAAATAGCAAAATACTCTTCCTATTTTAAGAATTGAAATTTTAGAATTGAGGGGTGGAAAGAATAATTACTTGGAGCAATGCATGTTGTCCAGTTTTCTTTTCTATTCGTATAACAATTGAAGTCCAAAGAAAATAGCCTTCCTAAATGTGCTAGGCAGGTTGGATACCTTATTTCATTTAAATTGTCCATGTATAGCTTTCCATAAGTCTCCAGGGAATGGCTTTAAGTGTTTTCTGGGATGAGCTAGTTTCCTCTGATCCCAACATGCTCTTGCTAAGCTCATCAAAAGCTGGGTCATTACAAATGGCTTGTCATGTATCCAGGGCAGCAGATGGCTGGCCCCAGTTCTGATTCCACTGATAGGCAGGTCACACACCTGCATACATGAGCACAGCCTCTCTCTGTTCCTTTACACCATTTTCTCTAGCACCCTCTCCTGTTCTCATTTTCTTTGGGAGCATCAGCACCCCCTTTGATTTGCCTGCTGTTTTGCACCACACAAGACTCTTTTCCACCTGAGAAAGTCCTCCTCAGATTACCTTTAATCTGCATATCAATCTTAGCATCTTAACCAGACAGCCTTATCTGGTCTAGCAGCTTTGATTTAGATGAGGTCTGCAAAGAAATAAAATCATATTTGAGAGGCTTGGCTGATATCTCTTCCAGTCCTGCTGTACGTCTATTTCCAGATATTTCCCACCTCTCCTCAGGTCCTGGTGCTAATGAAATAGATATTCTTTTTCATTGTTGTTGCTGCTGGGCACAGAGTGAGGCCCAAATGCATTTCCTAATGGTTTGTTTTCCAGCTGAGCTGAACAGAATCAAAACCACAAACCACCAGCGCAGGGGCCCAAGCCAAGAACAGAGGAAGCCATTTACAATGCTAAAAATAAAATCACATCAGACGGCGGTGGGATTCACTGTAGTTATTTGATTAAGGAGTGGGAGCAGAGTTTTTATATACATATAAATGTATATCATTTATAAATGTTGTTATTTTAGGGTATTTGCGGAGCCACCGGCTAATTTGCCTGTTTTTTTTTTTTATTAATTTATTTATTTGTTCTACTTAGTTGTACATGGCAGCAGAATGTGTTTCAAGTCATAGTACACAAATGGAGCACAGGTTTTCATTTCTCTGGTTGTTCACAAAGTAGAGTCACACCATTTGTGTCTTCATACATGTACCTTGGGTAATGATGTTCATCTCATTTCACTGTCTTTCCTACCCCCATTTCCCCTGCCTTTTGCCCTATCCAAAGTTCCTCCATTCCTCCCATGCCCATTATGGATCAGCATCCACATATCAGAGAAAACATTTAGCATTTAGTTTTTTGGGATTGGCTATCTTCACTTAGCATGATATTCTCTAGCTCCATCCATTTACCTGCAGATGCCATGATTTTATTCTCTTTTAATGCTGAGTAATATTCTTTATTTATTCATCTATTGAAGGGCATCTAGTTTGGTTCCACAGTTTAGTAATTGTGAATTGTGCTGCTATAAACATTGAAGTGACTGTGTCACTGTAGTATGCTGTTTTTAATTCCTTTGGGTATAGACCGAGGAGTTGGATAGCTGGGTTGAATGGTGGTTCCATTCTGAGTTTTCTAAAGAATCTCCACACTGCTTTCTAGATTGGTTGTACCCATTTGCAGTCCCACCAGCAATGTATGAGTGTACCTTTTCCCCCCACATCCTTGTCAACACTTACTATTGCTTGTATTATCGATAACTGCCATTCTACCTGAAGTGAGATGAAATCTTAGAGTACTCTTGATTTGCATTTCTTTAATTACTAGAGATGTTGAACATTTTTTTCATATATTTGTTGATGGATTGTATTTCTTCTTCTGAGAAGTATCTGTTCAGTTCTTTAGCCCATTTATTGATTGGTTTATTTGGGGGTTTTTTTGGGGGGGTGGGGTAGGTAAGTTTTTTAATTCTTTATGTATCCTGGAGATTAGTACTCTATTTGATGTGCATGCGGTAAAAATTTTAATTTGCTTGATTTTTAAAATTTTAAAATTAAAATTTTAATTTGCTTGGTTTTAAAACATCCCCTCATCTAACTGGCCCTTTACACTTCCTTTCCCTCCAACTCTGCCACCAAGAGCCTACTAAGTGATGGACCAACGCACTTCTATTCCCAAACACTTCTTTGACTATTTCTGGTATCTCCTCGCCCAAGGTAAAATCCCAGGTAACTGTGTATCCTCTAGTATGACCTGAATGTTTGTGCCCCTCAGCCCCCTATTTGTATGTTGAAATCCTAGCCCCCAAGATGATAATATTAAGATTAAAGGAAATTATTAAATCATGAGAGCAGAGCCCTCCTGAATGGGGTTACTACACTTACTGAGAAGCCTGTTTGTTCCTTCCACCAGAACAGAGAAAAGGCGCCATCTGTGTGAAGGGGCCCTCACCAGACACCAAATTCACCAGCACCTTGATCTTGTGCTTTCCAATCTCTAGAACTGGGATGAAATGAATTTCTGTTGTTTCTAAGCCACCTAGTTTGTGGTATTTTTTTTTATAACAGCATGAAAGAACTATCTTCTTCCTCTCCCACAGCTCAAGGTCAGATGGTAGAATGAGGGTCCTCTTGGTTTACCATTGCTACTCCAGACAATTATTTCTCTGTCCTCTTGTCAAAAAGAAACCACCACAACAATAAACCCAGTTCCTTTGAAGTTCATGCTGTGCTGCATTACCTCCCTCTTCTTTAATTATCAGTCTCTCTCTCCTTCACTTAAGAACTCAGGACCTGGGCTGGGGATGTGGCTCAAGCGGTAGCGCGCTCGCCTGGCATGCGTGTGGCCCGGGTTTGATCCTCAGCACCACATACCAACAAAGATGTTGTGTCCGCCGAGAACTAAAAAATAAATATTAAAATTCTCTGTCTCAAAAAAAAAAAAAAAAAAAAACTTAGGACCTGGTTTATGGTCCCCCTCTTGCAATTCACACCATTAATCTTAATTAACTTCTGCTGCAGGTGAGCTGCTCACCCAGCACCTGTGTGTTAACTCAATGACCTTTTCACCTCCATCTCGTCTCACTTACTCATGATTACACCCAGGGTGTTGTCATCTCCACATACCTTCATTCTTCCAAAGTTGCGATTTTGCGTATGTAATTTTCAGACCACATCTATCTTTCCTGCCAGGAATTCTTTATCCTCATGAAAACTTCCACCCTATTAGACTGATTAGTTGAACTGCTTTTTCCCTACTTTGGTCTGTCTGCCCTCTCTTAACATCACTTATATCTTTATGACCAATAATTCCTGATTCATCAGTATCATCTACACCCTTGCCACTACCTTTAACAATTTTGGCCTTCTCTCTGCTCTTCACATTTACCTCACAAAACGAACAGTTGTAGAAAACTACAAAATGGAACCAATGGCTGACCCTCAAAATTAAAGACAGATCGCTTCAAATGGGTGCCTCATGATGCCTAGGATTCCTATTATAACTCTGAAGTCAGCTTGAGCTCTGAGATGATTAATTTTATGTGTCAACCTGTCTGGGCTACAGGATGCTTAGATAACTGGGAGAACATAATTTTGGAGTGCGTCTGTAAGGGTTTTTCTGCAAGAGATCAGCCCTGAATCCGTATACAAGTAAAGAATACCTACCCTCAATTCATGTGGGTGGCCCTCATCCTGTCCATTGAGGGCCCAGATAGAACAAAAAGATAGAAGAAGGGCAAATGTTCTCTTTGTTCTTCAACTAGAACATCCATCTTCTCTCCACCTAGTTCTTGGGCCTTCAGATTCTGGGACTTGCTCTAGCGTTCTCTCTCTCTCTCTCTCTCTCTCTCTCTCTCTCTCTCTCTCTCTCTCTCTCTCTCTCTCCTTCTCTGGTTTTGACACTGCCTCTCTGGATTCTTATTACAGCCTGTGTAGGCATCTTTCCTCTGTGCATACAGATCTGCTCTCTGAACTTCTCCCTCCTGCTCTGGGCTTTGAGAAGCTCGCTCACATGCATTACCTGCTCATTCGCCCTCTGATTGCTTATTCCAATGGGAGGCTTCTACAGGAAACAGGAGGGTGGGAGGAGAGTAAGGATGCTGTATGTAAGTCCCAGCTCTGGCCCAGCTGGGTCGCTGTGGGTTGACGGTGCCCACTATCAAAAGGCCACAACTTCTGGTGGAGACCTCTTGCTTTCAGTGCCTTCCTCTGGCCCCTTCAACCCTGGGAAAGTAGAGCGCCAGGTGATCCCTACCCTGAGGGTACTGTTTCCCCCAAGCCTTCCCACCCCTTTGTAAATAGCGTCTTTATAAAATTCTGTTCCAAGTACCCAGCTCCGATGCGTCATTTTATTCCTGCTTGCTGGGATCAAAAGCTTCTCTTCTTGAACTCTAAATGTCTGCATTTCTCAGATTTCAGTCTTAGCGCCTTTTTCTTTCTGTATTCTTCCTGGGTTGTCTCATTGACTTCTATTGCTATATGCTAACCCTCCAAGAAACTCTATCTCTGGCTAAGGATTCTTCTTTGATCTGGAAACTCATATAGCCAACTGCCTACTCGGGAGTCTCATGGACAATAAGCATACTAAAAGAGCGTGCTCTGCCCCTAAATGTAAGTGTCCCTGTTTGTCCTTATTGCTGCTGTGGCTTACAAAAGTCAGTTCTTATTGCAGAACCATAGCTGTTCTATTCCAAGCCCTTCCCTGTTCCCCCTAAATTTGATATTGTCTCTTCCTCTGACTGGCATATACACAAGACAATACAGATAGTTCATAGTCAAATGCATTCAAATTAAAGGAGTCTCCTGAAAGTTTATCAGGAATTTAGAATTCCCAGTGCTTCCCCCAGAGCATCATGCTGTAGCTTCTGCCTAGATTTCTAGTCTACTTCACAAAGACAGCTGAAGGCATATTGTACCATAAGTATGTCAAGAGCCAGGATCCTGTCTAATTCAATTTTATAAAGAAAAATGCTTTATTTAGATGGGATTTAAACATCACACAAGTCACCCATTAAAAACATGTAATCCAGGGTTTTCAGTATATTCATAGTGCATATACTCACCACAATCCGATTTTAGGACATTTCATCCCCCTCCCTCTAAAACAAATCCTATGCCCATTAGCAGTCATTCCCCATCTTATCTCACCCCATCCCTAGGCAACCACTAATCTCCTTTCTGTCTCTATAGATTTGCCCATTCTGGACATTTCATAGAAACAGATTCTTGCAATATGTGATCTTTGGTGACTGGCTTCTTTCACTTAATGGGATGCTTTTAAGGTTCATCCACGGTGTAGCATGTCCCATCAATACAGTCACGCCCTGCATCACCACATTTCAGCCAAGACCATGAATGATAATGGACTGAGCACTGCCTGCCGCCTGGTGATATTGTAGCTGCCATAGCATTGTAGTGCAGCCTGTTACCCACGTGTGTGTGGCAGTGTTGGTGCACACAAACCTACAATGCCACCAACTATAGAACAGTACAGCAACACAATTAAGTAGGGTACATAACACCTAATAATGGTAATAATATTAGGTATTTACTATAGTATAATTGCTATCATTATTTTAGGGAATACTTCTACGTATGAAAAAATATTTCTGTAAAACATCATGCTGTATTAAACCAACGGCAGCCTCACGTAACTCATGTTTACACCTTTTGAATGTATCAGGAGGCCAAGGGATGTGATTGATCTTATCATTTAGGTTTGTTAAGTATGCTCTATGAGGTTATCAAATGATGAGATTACCTAACAATGCAAGTCTCAGAACATATCCCCATTGTTCAGAGATGTATGACCGGTACTTCATTCCTTTTCATTGCCAAATGCTATTCCATTGTATGGATATACCATATTTTGTTTCTCTCTTTTCCCTTGGTAGACATTTAGATTGTTTCTACTTTTGGCTATTATAAATAATGATGCTGCCATGTATAAGTTTTTGTATAGTCATGGTTTTTAAAAAATATTTTAATTCTAGGTAGACACATATCTTTATTTTTATGTGGTGCTGAAACCCAGTGCCTCACACTTGGTAGGCTACCTCTGAGCCACAACCCCAGCCCTAGACAGGATGTTTTTTTAATGGTAGATTTTAACAAAATAGAAACAAACAAACAAAAAATAATGAGTAAAACATTGGAAGAATAGACATAAGTTTTAGTCTTTTGTGGGCACATAACTAAGAGCAGAATTGCCAGGTCATGTAAAAAAAACACTACATTTATCTTTTTGAGTATTTGTTTAAAAGTTTTCTAGAGCATTTGTGCCATTTTACATTCTTGGTTGACGCATTTTTCTTCCTAGCACTTTGCATGTGCTTTCTGTTTTTCTTTTTTAGCATCCTGTGTTTCTGGTGAGAAGTTAGCTTTGACTCTTTCCTTTGTAATAAGTGTTCTGTTCTTGCTCCTTTCAAGATTCTTTGTCTTTTGAATTTGACGAGAGTGTGTCTGGATGTGGGTCTCTTTGGGTTTCCATGACTTGGAGTTCTCTGAGCCTCTCAAATGTGTAATGGTTTTTTATCAAATTTGGGAAGTTTTCAGCCATTATTTCTTCAGGGTATTTTTTTTTTCAGTCTCTTTCCTTGACTTCCGGCGCTCTCATTACAGATATGGTAGTGTGTTTCATGGCATCTCCCCTATCTCTGAGGTTCTGTTTGCTTTTATTAATTCATCTTCCTCTTGTTTGTCAGATTGCATAATCTCTATCAAGCTATCTTCAAATTCGCTGATTCTTTCTTCTGCCACTTCAAATGTATTATTGAGCCTCTCTAGTGAGTCATGCATTTTGATTATCATAGTACTCAACTCTAGATTTTGGGCTTGTTTTTTTTTTTAAAAAAAAAACTCATTTCCCTTTACTTAGTTTGTACTCGATGAGATATTTACGTCAGACCTTTATTTCTGTAAGCATGTTTTCCTTTAGTCTATCATAGTAGTTACTTCGCTATTAAGTGCAATATCTAGGCCTCCTCAAAAGCAGTTTCTGTTGCCTGCTATATTTTTTCCTTAGGTATGGGTGATATTTCCTTGCTTCCTTCCTCTGTCTCATGATCTATTTTGGAACCTGGACATTTTGGATAAAATATTAGAATAGCTCTGTGCATTGAAGGCCTGGGGTTGTTGTTTCCTTGGATATGTGTTTGTTTAGTAGCTAGGCAGAAGTAATTCTGCAAAGTCTGTTTAACCTACAGCATGCAGCCTTGAATGTTCCTGCT